CGAGCCGCAGCGATCCCTGCCTCTGGGCCGCAGCACAGAAAGCAAGCACCTCTTCCCTCTCCTCCCGCACTCCCTTCATGAAGAGATCCCCCACTTTGTTTCCTCCTCCTTGACCGTTTTATGGCTTTAGAGCCTGTGATCTGAAGGATTTGGGAAGCCAACGCGGTGTATAAAACCTGATGGGTGTGATACGGGGACGTGCTCTGTGTGGCTCCCTCGTGGCCCTGGGCCGTGCCGTGTCACATCGCGCTGCCCTGGCAGGTCCGTGGGCCGGGTTTGGGCACTGCATCTCCCTACCTCATTGCCATTGCCAGCTGAGGTCCCTTCCCAGGAAACCTGTCTTTGAAGCCAAATCGCTCCCAACAGGTGTAAAATCAGCTTGGGCGTGATTTTCCGCTTTGAATGATGGGATGAGGGTCGCTCTGCCCGGCCTCCACGTTGGCTGAGATATGTTTGCCCAGGTGCCGGCTACAGCCCAGTTGGTTTGGGGTTCCAGGGGCTTGGCCACGCTTTTGTGTCACCCCAAGTGGGCAGGGATGGGGGTACGAGACGAGAGAGGGTAAGGGGATGTCCCCTTGGTTTGGTTGTTTATCACCCCCCTCACCAGGGTGTGGGAGTGGAGTGGGGGAGGCTCCTGTCTTGCAAAGCTTGAAGTCAGCCCATCTCCCTGCCCTGCAAGGAGGAGTTTTCTGCATTTCTTTATCTGTGGAAGGGAGGAAAATGGGATGACAAAGCCACTGAATCTGGCAAAGGCACAGCGTGTGCGGGAGATGCTCCCAGTGCGCTGGGAAAGCTCTGCTGGGTCTGCAGGAGCTTGGTGGGATCGGAGGGGTCAGAGCCCCGGCCGGGCCCCAGGCAATGCCCTCAGTTGGAAAGCTTCTCCTTGGTTCCCAGTGCTTCAACTTCCCAGGCACTACCAACACAAGGAAAGAAGAACTAAGTTATCAGGGACAGAGATGTGAAAAGCTGAACGTATTCTCTCCCCGGGGGTTCCCCAGGGTCATGGCTTGTGCTCTGCAGCAGCAGCCCCAAACCAGCCAAGCTCCTTCCTGAATTCCCTGCCCTACAAGGAACAACCTATGGCTCTCCCACTTGCAGAGCAAAGTCCCGGGCCTGAAGGCTGCTGGAGGGTAGGATGCTTTTTATAAAGCCCCCTTCACTGGGACACAGATCAAAGTGAACGTCTCACAGGTGTCACTTTGGGGCAGATGGGCTGACGCTGGAGATAGACCGAGTGGTGTGGGAAAGGGCCTCCAGCTCCTGCAAGGTCTCTGCCACGCTGTGGGCAAGCTGTCTTCTGGAGGCACGTGCAGCCAGGAGCGATGTTCAGCCCCACTGACCCCAAAGCATCAGCTCGTGTGACCAGCCCAGGTTCTGCCTGTGTTGGGAGTGGGACGGACTTGGTGGCTGGCCACCACCCGAAAAAAAACCCAGCACAGAGCTGCTGGGGACTTTCAGAAGCTCTGAAGTCTCAAGCAGATAATAAAGCTGCTGTGTCTGAGCTATGGCCATGGTTACACTGCAGGACTCGCAGGAGAAGGCATCCGTCAACCCTGATGCCAGCAAAGTAGAGGAGCTGTGTTCGGGGTCTCTGGGGTACGCAAAGGGACAGCAAATATGGCCCTTGTGAAAGGGAGTCTTGCCTCCCCCACCTGCTGGAGCTCTTTGCAGGTGGATCAAGAATTATCTGGGTGACAAAGATGTCTTGCAGGACTTCAGAGGCTGAGTGAAAACACCAGAATAGAGGTGCAGGCATTGATGGGTTGATGGAAAATGAAGCACGTGAGGAAGATCAACCCTGACTTCACGGGTGAGACAATAGGCTTTGAGTGCCCCATAGAATCACAGAACAGTTTGGGCTGGAAGAGACCTTCAAGATCAGCGAGTCCAACTTTTTCCCAGCCCTATCAACACCTCTAACCCACATCCTTCAACATCTACCCTTCTCTTAAACACCTCCAGGGATGGTGACTCAAGCCCCTCCCTGGGGAGGCAGTTTCAATGGCTGACAACCCTCTCAGTAAAGAAATTCAGAGCTCAGCGGCTGTCAAAATCAAGAA